AAGTTGGCACCTGTAATGTAAATTACGGTATTACGGTGTTGCAACTAACCACAAATTACGGTTGTGTTGTAATGTTGTGTTGCAATGTTGTAATATTTGTTAAAAATATTTATGTGATTGTTACATTCAAATAAAAAGTAGATCACGATCCTTACTTTTCTAGTTATATCAATCTTTTTTTTTCCCACGAGTATGTTTTATGCATTTTAAAAACCATTTCTTTTTCATTTTTTTCTTATAATAATTAAAGATGAATTTTGCTACTGATAATAAAAATAAACTTGGTCCAAAATATAATAATATTTTACACGTGATAACCGTCTTGGTGATAGACATTACCAAATTACGTGCAAGCTATGTTTGTCATTTTTTAAAGATGCCCGACCGTATATTTTACGTTCTCATATAGTTTCTCAATGTCCAAAAGCATCTGAAACTATCAAAAATGAAATCAACATTTTTCTAAACAAGGAAAACCTTCTGAAAATTCTGGACAATGTCATATTGACGGTTATTTTTGTTCAGTTAATTTAGAAGAATCACGCATAAAACAAATCAATGAAGCTTTAGTTATGATGTTTATTATGTGTGCATTACCTTTCCGCCTTGTAGAAAACCCATTTTTCATTAATTTTTTAAAAGTATTAAATCTTGGATATCAACCACCTTCAAGAAAAGCTCTTGCTGGTCGTTTACTTGATAATGAAATAGCACAGATTGATAAAAAAATTAATAAAGATCTTGAACATGCAGAACATTTAACATTAGGTAATTAAATAAATAAATTTTAATTATAACAGATAATAGTAAAAATAATTTTACTATGGTGCAAGTCACTTAGTCGCTGAACTTTTTGTGCCATGACGCCAATTTTGAGAAAAAATATTCCAATAAAAAATTTTAGTCATGTGTTTTTTGAAGATCGCCAAGGGCCAAATATAGCTGGCTTGGTCTAAAGACCTCCTAAAAATAGTTGGATGCGAAACATCCTAGCATCCTTTTGTACAATGATGTAGTTTTTCATAAAATAAACTATTTCGTGGCCAAAAAACATATACATAAATAGACCAAAAAA